TGGTGGTGGTGGTGGTGGTGGTGGTGTTGTTGGTGGTGGTGGTGGTGGTGGTGGTGGTGTTGTACTTGGCTCGAAGACCCGTTCGCACGTGTTGTTGTTGTTGTTGTTGCTGCTGCTGCTGCTGCTGCTGCTGCTGCTGTTGTTGTTGTTGGTGGTGGTGGTGGTGGTGTTGTTGTTGTTGGTGTTGTTGTTGTGACGTGAAGAATTTGCACTGCAAGCCATCGTGATCATTGCCGCCAACATCACAGCTGCTACGCACATGTCACCTCACTGTCCCCTCAGCCGTGCTTGAGTGTCACGTGCCTCGAGACGTCAGCTTGACAAAAGCCCCTGTACTCACAGTGGTCACACTTGTATGGCTTCCCACGCGTGTGTCTTAGCTTGTGTGTTGCAAGGTTTTTCTTGTGGGCTGTCTTGAAGCTGCACTGGTCACACTTGTACCGCCTTGTATCTGGGTGCCACCGCTCCATGTGCTTCAGCAAATTTTGCCGCAGTGAGGCGCTGTATTCGCATTGCTCGCATTTGTATGGCTTCTCACCCGTGTGTACTCGCCGATGTCTTGTCAGGTGTCCCTTGTAAGCTGTCTTGTACTTGCATTCATCACACTTGAAGCGCTTGCGTGCTGTTGCCTGCACCTTCGCCTTGTTGCCGGTGTGGCGAGTGTGGCGAGTGTTGCGAGTGTTGCGAGTGTTGCGAGTGTTGCGAGCTGACCTCTGCTTAAGGTGGCTCTTGCCGCGCTGATGCTGCTGTTGCGTCTGCTTCTGTGCCTGACGGCGCGTCGTCCTGTGCTTCAGGGGAGGCTGGCGGCGCGTGGGTGCGGCGAGCTTGGTGCGAGTTGCGGCCTTCAGCACAGAAGACGAAGATGATGGCGAGTGTGATGAAGCTGTTGCGGATGAGGATGGAATAGTGGAAGGCACATCTTGGTCCTGTTGTCGCCTCTGGCGTTTGTGTCGGCCTCGGCCTTGGCGTTCAGGTTTATGAGGTGTCTTGTTATGCCGTACACGCGCCTTCACGCTATCAGCAATGGAACCGCCTGCAGGCATGGAGCCGGCCTGTGCTCGTGGGACAGGCGAATCCTTGCTCAAGCCCATGGCCACCTCCACCTCCACATCACCATCGTGTTGCAGCGACGGTGGCGACAACGGGGGTGACGATGACGGCGATGGTGGCGCGGATGGTGCCGGTGGACTTGGCGCTTGCGGAAGCTGCTGGGGCAGATTGATGCATTTATGAACAAGCTGTTTGTGGGCGGACAGCTCGGCTGGGCCCATGGCCTCGAAAGCACAGAGATTGCACTCCAGCGCTTGCATGCGTGCATGCATCTGATCCACAGATGCGACCCTTGCCTGGAAGTGCGGCTGCGGTTGTGGTTGCTGTTGTTGTTGTTGTTGTTGTTGTTGTTGTTGTTGTTGTTGTTGTTGTTGTTGTTGTTGTTGTTGTTGTTGTTGTTGTTGTTGTTGCTGCTGTTGCTGTGTGGTTGAAGTTGGGCGTTGTTGTTGCTGCTGCTGTTGTTGTCGCGGCTGTTGCGGTTGTGGTAATGACAACATCAAGCATGGTTTGTGCGTTGTTGGCGGTAAAGTAGCACGTGCTGAAACAACGGGCGCAGGGCTGCGACGCCGATGGTCGATGCATCGGTGATTGGCGAGTCCATCTTGGTGTATGGTTGTAAAAGTGCAGAACAGGCACTCGAACACACGCGTGGGTGCGTAAGCCTCCGCACCACGGGCTGTTGGCACTCCGAAATCAGGCGAGGGCGGTGGCAATGTGCGCCCGTGCAACTGCTGCTGATCTTGTTGCTGTTGCTGCTGTTGTTTTTCCTTCGAGAGCGACGACGGTGGTGCCGCGTGGTGTGCGTGACCTTGCTGAGAAAAGGCGTCGGCATTCGATGTGCTGCCTGCGTGATCCTCTTGGCTGAGCGGTCCCCATGCGGTGCGTTCCCGGCGCGCTGGTGTAGGTGTCTGTGCTGCTGGAAACGTGGGCGGTGGCAATGGCGACATGTTGGCTGATGGTGCCATCGCCAGCGGAACTGAACAAACCCGGTTCGCTGAGCCTGGTGAGCGTGCCGATGGCACGATGGTGTTGGGACTCTGCGTTGTTTGAATGTGAGGCCGCACAGAGACTCTCGCTCCTCCTGAGCCTGCGAGTAGCTGCACATTGGTCAGCGTGGGCTGCTTGATCCGAGAGGTTGTCCAAACACCGTGCTCAGCGGCCGTCGAGGCAGGACCAGAACTGGAAACAGCGTCCTTTTTCTTCTTCGCTACCAATGCTATCCTCAAGACACGCAGAGGTATAAGAGGAGGGGGAGAGGGAGAGCACGTTAATGCTGTCCGCGCTGGTGTGGCGCTCGTTACGTTGGTAGTGGTGCCGGTGGCAAACACCGAAGAGCTGCTGTTGTTTGCCGGGTCAGTCAGCGTCTCATCCTCGTCGCTTTCATCACTGTCCAGGATGTATCTGGCAGCGTGGCGGCGCTTCATTTCGATGTGGAAACGAAGACTGGAAGGGGGGCTTTTGGGGATGCTGGGCTGGGCTGGAAGGCTGAGACGTTGAGGTTGGAGTGCTGGAGTGGGTGTGGCGGAGTGCGTCTGTGGTCGGGCAAGAAGAAGGTGGTTGTTGTTGTTTGCGTGAGTGCGCTCACTGGTTGTTTGAAGAAAATTGTTTAAAGATATATTCATTCATCTGCCAAAGAAGGACAACCACAACAACCACAGCAGCTGAGCGAACAACACTGCTGTAACAACCTCAAGAACCTCGTAACAGCCTCAGCAAGTCAGCAGGCACACAGGCGATCGTCCGCACCGCGCTCGCTGTTGCCCTGTGGTGCACCCCTCCGCAAAGGCACAGAAGACTACCTCCTCTCTCGATTTACACAAAGCATCTTACAGTCACACGAACGCGCATTTACCGTCCCTCGAAGCCTCAAGCACTCCAAACCTCTAGAAACCTCGCCAGCACCCCCGCCATCCAAAGCAAAATGAGTGTACACGCGAGCGAGTGGGCGCTGGTTGCAGAGCAGCTGCTTGTGCCGCCGCCAATTACAGTTGACGCACAGGTGGAGGCAGCGGTTGATGTCGACGTGTATTGTGTTCGCGTTAGACGCGACATTGCTCGCACCTTCTTCAACCTCATGTTGACGTGCCGTGAGCTGTACCACGACTTGCCATGGGCCATGCCAAAGTGGTGCCTTTACAATGTGTTTGCCGATGCTGTCGTGTGCGCT